ACTTCTTCTCGAACCTTCGTGAATTGTCGGGAGATTACTAGATACGTGTTAGTCTGGTATATATATAAGACGCTCACAACGTGACGGGACAACGAGGTAATGAGTACTTGAATGTATGCGGACAAAATATTGTTGGCCACGTGAGTTATAGTGTTTGTTATAGAGCGACTGTTGAAATTAAGTGTATCGTAAAGTTGCATTCGGAAAGAATAAACCAGTTTTATTTAAGAAATGACTTGTGTCGCTAAAGTTTCGTCGGAACGAATTTACGGAAAATTAGCTAACGAACGGAGACGTAACAATATATTTCAGTAATTTAAGTCAGTTTCTTTAACTGTGGCCCTCCCTTTTAGGTTTAGAGCCAAATTACAGTGTGTTTCCTTTAATCAAGGACAATTTATATTAGCTACAAGCCCGTACACAGGATGTTTGAAAGGGGGGCACTAGCTTGTTGGGTCAAAAGCCAACACATATTGTGCACTATAACTATATCAGCATAATTTTTACACGATAAAATTAGGGGGTTCGGTCAACCCCCCCTCTTCCCCCCTGCGTACCTGCGTGAGCTACAGTGAGCAAGTGACACGTCGAACTCACAGCAAATCTATTGCTATTTAAATTACGTTTTGAGTAATCTATATAAATATAATAGTATTGTTTGTCCATGTAACTACTTCGCTGGGTGTAAATGGATCTTCACCAAAATTGATATGGAGGTTCATTAGGTCAATGAGGAAGTACATAAAACTTTTCAGTTTTGCATTTTGCGCTTTTTATGGGCGTTTTTTATCACTTCGCCCTCTGTTGATGGATCTTCACCAAGCAAATTTGCAGTTTCACATTTTCCTGTTTTTGCATTTTTTACAATTACATATAAGGGAAGCAAATTTTCATGTCCTAAGATAACCTTTCATTAATCATGAATTTACATAACTTCCATATATTATGGAATACCTGATAATTCTGTATTTGCATAGTTTTAATATCGCTATTTGGGCTCTGTTGACAGTGGTAATTAATTATATAACTTGAAGTCTATAGTAAAACTAGGTTATTAATTTATATGACTATAGCGGCAAGGACTAAGTTTAGTAAAATTGATTTTTTTTTTTCCCCCACCTCTCTAACAAAAAAAAAAAAAGAATTTAAGAGCAACTTTTCGATCATAGGCCTACAAATTGCCAACCGTTGCACAAACGTGATACATCATGATAAAGCGACAACAATACTGTAACGGTATTAGCTTTTGTAGTCATGGAAACATTATTGTAAACAAGCGCTGAAGCTTGTACAGATATATTAGTATATTCAACTGATAAGATTTATGTATATGAAAAAAAAAAAAAAAAAAAGAAGACAGTAATGATGCATAGAGAGAATTAAGATTAACAAATTATAACGAGTTACTTGTTGGCACGGCTATTTTTGTAAATAGGCCAGGTTATTATCGATCAAAATTTCTTAGAATATTTTCCTATCAAAACTGGTTTTTTGTTTTCGCAGAATATTTGCAGTAAAAGGTAAATCGGGTACATGGCGATCCTTAACTGTTGTATGGTCCATCTTAAACGGTTCGTTAGTGTTTCTGGTATCCCTATATTTTGCACTATATGGTACACACTAGTTTCTTGATCACGCGACGCACCTGAGAGCCTGAAACCTGTTTATTGTACAGTTGTTCTCAAGCTCAGCTGTACAAGTAAAACAGTTGTACACTAAGCATGGCCGTTTTTTGAACACCAACTGTATTAGAATATATTTTTTCTCTTTGAAGATCTAGATCTTCCAGACAGTTTAACACCAAAACCAGTATACAGCTAGATAACCGTTCAACCTTGAAATTAATTTCGTCATTTATAAAAAAAAAAAAGTACAACTAGATAGACTTCGCTTGAATTCTCTACCGAGTGTTCTATTAGCTATTTCACTAGATTTTCCTTATCGTTTATTACTGTCAGAGGCACACTCATAGCTCTAAATATTTGGGTCGTATAAATAGCAAAATGTTAAATTAAACTAGGAGGACGTAAGTTATATTATGTTTTATTTGTTTTAGCGCAAAGCTACACAATGGGTTATATACGATTTGTCCATTGTGGGGAAAAGAACCTTGGATTTTAATGTTGTAGGCCCGTAAATTTACTGCTGACTACCGTGAGAACCTGTGTTTTTTATTGTTACGACAGCGGAGGTCACGTGACGCTGCTAACACGTAATGAGGTATCTAGAAAGATGAAGGAACTTGTCGAACGTCCTAGCGGTTGCTAGTATGGCGCTCTTATAGTATATAAGCCGGCAAATAAAGACGGCAACATTTTGAATAGCAGACAGAGAGATTAAAGATATAGACGTGGTAGTAAGTAAAGTGCGTGAATCGTTCGTTGAAAATTATAGCGTATGTTTAAGTTAAAGGGACTGTGGAAATTAAGTGTACTGCAAAGTTGAATTAAGAAAGAATAAACTAGTTTTATTTGAGAAAGGACTTGTATCGCTTAAGTTCTTCGGAAATAATTTTTACGAGTAACTAACGTAACAATATTGACATTTCGTTCTCACTTAGAGTGCTGTGTCAAGGAAAGAAAGATAATTGGGTATAGGTAAATAACAAGAAGAAAATGTTGAATTTTGGAACAAGTATACATAAAGCGTTATTAGTTATTTTAAGCCGACTAGTTTCGATAACTATACCCAAAGTCGTGATGACGTTAGCTTTAAGTAAATTTTATGCTAAAATGGAAATTGTTCTAATAGTGAAACAAATCAGAGCAAGAATATTCAAAATGTGCGGGAGAAATTTTAGAGAATTTTAATTTCAGCTTTCTTGGTTGTTTGTTTATTTAGAATTTTCGCGTAAACCTGTTTCTAATTTAAAACTGATAGATTAAAGGAAAGGCAGCTAGTCACAGTTTCCGCTGCAAGTTCTTGAGCTACTCGTGTTTTGCAGAATAATAGTATTTTAAAATGAGTGGCAATGGTCTTTTAAAGTAAAACTCTCCGTCATTGTTGATTTTTTAGCGTGCATATTTGTATTATGTCTATTAAGTATCTTGGCCATCCCTATCGTTAAGCCTGATTAAGAGCTGTTGCTCTAAACGTCGCTAAATAAAATATATTTTTTCAATGTTGACGTGGTATTTTTACAGAGATTTTATTCTATTGCATTTATCTTCCAACGTTGTATGGTTTCTAATTATTTTGAAAATTTTCTAAACTTAAACAGGGCGGTATTACTAGAGAAATGAGATACAAGATCCAAAAATATATCTCCACCAACACCATTTGTGAGAGACGTTAAAAATACGTAAGTTGAACGTCTTGACAGCTCACAAAATATGGTCAGTAATCACAAGGCGGATTTGTGAAATTCTGCAAATATTCTAAAACTACATATATCTGTTATATATGTTAAAATACATGATAATGATAATAGTAACAGAAACATTCAATCAATAATAAGCCCTTTGGAATATACCACCTAACTGAATATAAGGATAAGCAAATATCTGATTTACCTTTTTATAATTAAAAAATCTAAAAAAAAACAGTTTTAATGGAAAATACTCGAAGGAGTTTGATGGATAAACTCGAAACTGACCTATCTGCAAATTCGAGCACACCAACAATTAATTTGTTGTTAATTAAGTTGTTAATCTTTCGGTTATACCACTGTATTAGTGATAGGTACAAGCATTGGCGCCAACTTTTCAAAATGATTGAGGAGGGGGGGGGGGCTAGCTCGATGTATTTATTTATTACACAGCTTTAGGTTACTCAGCAGCACTCCCATCAATAAATTTCGATGCTTAAGAAACCCTGGGCTAATGCCTGTGGGTAAAAATATGTGACATAACTGCATTCCGATGTAATTAATTACTGATTAAACAAAATATTTTAGAAACAAGTAGTTTCTTTTAAAACAATTTTTATAGACGTCATATCTTATACCCTAAATATCCGTGTTTCCTTCGTTGTGCAAGCAAGGTCTCCCGTAGCTATATATAACCACGCGAAAATAGAGTCCTTGGTGCTTGTATAAGCAAGGGTTCTTGGTGGCTGTAATCAATAATATAAATTGTTGTTTTCATTCATAAAAACATGAAAAGGGGCCGTGTGGCTTATAACGTAGGTAAATTAATCTGTAGAATTAAACACGGACTTCTCTCTACGTTAAAATACTTATATTTGCGAGCTTCGTCTCTCTTGCTCAAAGAAGCCTGAAGGCTCCGGTGAGAGAGCCGAAAGCTCGCAAATATAAGTATTTTAACGTAGAGAAAAGTCCCTGTATAATTCTACATACATATTACGTGTTTTTGTTTAGGGTTTATAAAAAACTGTAAAATTTGAAAAGCTTACCTCTTCTACACGGGGTTGTTTTGCCTAATGGTCAGTTGACACTAAGA